CTGCGCGCTGCGCAGCCGAGTGTGCCGCTGGGGGGGGGGCGTGGGGGGAGTCGGGGCCAGGAGGGAGGGAGGAGGGCCTGGGGTCGGGGTGGTGTGGGGTGGGAGCGTGGGGGGAGTCGGGGCCGGGAGGGAGGGAGGAGGGCCTGGGGTCGGGGTGGTGTGGGATGGGGGTGTGGGGGGAGTTGGGGCCAGGAGGGAGGGAGGAGGACCTGGGGTCGGGATGGTGTGGGGCGGAGAAATGGGGAGGGTGCTCTTTCTCTCCGGAAAGCCCCGGGGAAGCTCTGGAAGTGCCCCTCAGATCCCCCAGAGAGAGGCTTGGGTCGGGGTCTACGAAGGAAGCCGGTGAACTCAGGCCTTCAACCAACCCCTGACAGTGCAGTCTCTCCTTCCTTCCCATTTGCACACTGTCACTACGAATGATCCCCCCTAATTGTAAGACAGCTCTCTGAGATAACAGCAGCAGCATCCTAATGCACCCGTTTACCAGACAAGGTCGCTTTAAGACACGTTTCTACTTGTGAGCAGACATGTCTTATGGGTCAGACAGGTTATTAGAGGATTTATCATCCCAACACCACCACGTTCCTTACGCTTGTCTGGGTTCGTTGATACTGCTTATACAGTGATCTTCCATAATGAGCGCTAATTGCTTGGGAGTTTAATTTAACTTGAAATGGTTATCCCTCAAACTCAGTGTTTTGGCTTGTGTGTTATGACCTTCAAAACATTCCAGGGATTATTTACGTCGAAGTAAACTAGATTGCACAAGACAATTATGATGTGCCTCCAGGATATATGTATATTTTCCTCTTCTCAAGAACCACTCCACCCCACTACCCTGCTTGCTGTTTTGGTTTACCTTCCTGGTTAAATTTGAGTGCTAACAATTTTTTTTTTCGGAATATGAACTCCAAACGTGAACACATTATGCTTACTCTGCTTTCATCAGATCATATTTACATATTCTCTTGTTTTGGATCCTTTTCTATTAATACTGCCCACAGGAAGCTGTGGGGCTGTGGACACTGGCCAAATGTAGTAACAGTAGTATGACCTTGGGCAAAGAACTTCCTAAGTTTCCGCTTCCCACTCTCCAAAGTCTTGTTTGTATCAGTCCCATTTTTGCCACTAGGAAGTTTATATACTTGGTGCAAGCATTCCTACAGAGTGCTGGGCACAGGGTGGGGGGTCTTAGGTGTATTTCCTTTTTCTTCTCACTCTCTTTTAGTACTTCTTTTGGAATAGCTAATAGCCTGTTATTTTGCCCTTGTCGTGAGTTAAAATCCTTGATTTTCTTAATTACCCTGCTTTGATTTCTCTAAGGAAAATATATCTCATCCTAGTTAGTTTCTTTTTTTTTAAATTTAATTTAATTTAATTTTATTTGTGAACATACTGTACAGAGGGGTTACAATTACATGGGCAGGATAATGCATACATTTCTTACCAAGTATTGCAGCCTCCTCCTTTGTTTACCCTTTACATCCCTTCCCAGCCGCCCCCTCCCCCTCCCCCCCTTAGTTTCTTCTTTTAGTGTTGGGATCTTTCAAAAAATCTTGGTGGTCCTTTATCCAATTGTCATTGGCAGAATTGATAAGCTTGTGTCCTGTGTCATTAATGACAAGATAGTTTAAGCAGTTTAATTTTGATGACAGGTTTTCTAGGTTGCATGTAGACACCATGCTGTGTTGAGCATCTGGAAAAGTATAGATTTTTTAATGCTACTTGCAAATTATATATGTATATATATATATTTAACAATTCTTTAGCCTATGATTGCTGAAAAAATTAACCATTTAAGCAACTTTTAAAAAAATTTTACACAGTACAAAATAGGAAGTAATATTTTGTATTTTTATTCAAGTAAAGTATAAATTATTTTGGTGTATTGCTTTTGACAATCATTTTGGTTATCTGTCTTTCCTATTTTGTTTTTGTTTTTTTTTGTTTTTTGTTGGTTGTAGGGCCTGAACTCGGGGCCTGGGTGCTGTCCCTCAGCTCTTCAGTTCAAGGCTAGTGCTCTACCACTTCAGCCAAGCACCACTTCCGGCTTTTTCTGCTTATGTGGTGCTGAGGAATCAAACCCAGGGCCCCATGCATGCAAGGCAAGCACTCTACCACTGAGCCACCTTCCCAGCCCTGCCTAAATTTTTCATACGTACTTAAGAAGACTCTAATTAGATAGTGACAATTTACTTGATACTGAACATAATAAAAAAGATCTTTTTGGGAAGGACAGAAGGCCTTAGCTTAACTTTCATTGATGATATTTGATATTACAGATTGGGGAAAGTGGAGGAATTATGCTTGCTAACACAAAGTATGTTTATTGATTTCACAAATTTGTTACACATTTGGTGTGTGCCTGCTCTGGTCTGGGCACAGTGCTTCTTTTTTTTTTTTTTTTTTGGGTCCGGTCATGGGGCCTGAACTCTGGGCCTGGGCGCTGTCCCTCAGCTCTTCACCTCAATGCTAGCGCTCTAGCGCTTGAGCTACAGCACCACTTCCGGGTTCTTTTTTTAACTTTGCTTATGTGGTGCTGAGGAATCGAGCCCAGGGCCTCAGGCATATAAGGCAAGCGCTCTACCACTGAGCCATCTTCCCAGCCCCTGCACAGTGCTTCTGTATCAAAGATGTGCATACATTGTTCTGTGCTTCCAATAAGTGTGTGTGTGTGTGTGTGTGTGTGTGTGTGTGTGTGTGTACAGGGCACCATATAGTAAGGACAAATGAGTTTAGGACAAATCAGAGTTCAGAAATAAATATTCCCTATTAAAGCTCATTTACATAGCCTATGTAATGTGGTGATCTGTATGAATGTTTTGTGTTTTGTTTTTGTTTTGGGTCCGGTTGCCGGGCCTGAACTCTGGGCCTGGGCGCTGTCCCTCAGCTCTTCAGCTCAAGGCGCTATAGCGCTCTACCACTTGAGCCACAGCGCCACTTCCGGCTTTTTTCTTTTTGCTTATGTGGAGGAATTGAACCCAGGGCCTCAGGCATGCAAGGCAAGCGCTCTACCACTGAGCCACCTTCCCAGTCCTGTATGAATATTTTGAAGGAATTTTATATATACATATTTTTTGTTGGTCGTGGGGCTTGGGTGCCTTGTGCCCTTCAGCTCAAGGTGAGCGCTCTACCGCTTGAACCACAGTGCTACTTCTGGTTTTCTAGTGGTTTAGTGGAAATAAGAGTCTTATGGACTTTTCCTGCCCGGGTTGGCTTTGAACCATGATTCTCAGATCTCAGCCTCCTGAGTAGTTAGGATTACAGGCATGATTCATTGGCGCCCGTCAGGAAAATAATTATTTTTTTGTTTTTGGGTCCGGTCGTGGAGCCTGAACTCTGGGCCTCGACGCTGTCCCTCAGCTCTTCAACTCAAGGCTAGTGCTCTACCACTTGAGCCACAGTGCCACTTCCGGGTTCTTTTTTTCTTTTTGCTTATGTGGTGCTGAGGAATTGAACCCAGGGCCTCAGGCATGCAAGGCAAGTGCTCTACCACTGAGCCACCTTCCCAGCCCCGAAAATAATTATTTTTACAATTTGCTTTTTATCTTGTGTTTAGATGGAATAGTATATACTAAAGTACCTTATTAAAAAAGATAATTCAGTTGTGTGTTAATAGCTCATGCCTATAATCTTGGCTACTCAGGATTTTAGTTTCAGGCCAGCCTCAGCAGAAAAATTCAGTAGATTCCATTTCCAAAATAACCAGCAAAATGTATAGCAAGAAGCATGGCTCAAATGGAAGAGTGCCAGCCTAGCAGGTTCAAGGCCCTGAGTTCAAACCCCAGTACTGGGAAAAAAAAAACCAAACCACCTTTTCATGCTAGGTAAGTTGTCTTCCATTGAGCTATATTACCAGGCCCAGCTTTTTTTTTTTTTTTAATAAAATGATTTTTTTGTTATAGTTCTGCGATTAACTTAAAAAGTGTTTAATCTGTTTATCAGACTGTTAATTGTGTTTGGGAAATGTATTTGGAAATGATTTTGTGAGGATTATTTTTAAGCCTCAAGTAACCCTTGTAGATTTTTAACCTCAGGTAGACTTGCCCACCATTGATTCTATCTTAGATTTGTGGTACATCATTTTAAATTACAAATACCTGCAACCTTATTGATCCTCTTTCTGTGATCCTTATATAAGAAGCATAAATTTGTTACTAAATCAAACACATAGTTGTATGTGTTTTTTGTTTTGCTACTATGGTCACAGGAGCTGAAATAAAGACAATAATGCCTGTAAACCTTAGGGTATTCTAGTTCTTTGCCACAGCCTTATCTATGGGGGATCTGGTGGGAAAGGAAGGAAATGTTGATAGGACCAGTGCAGACTGCTGGGGAAAAGGTGGCAGATAGGAATTCTGGACAAAAGTAAAATTAGAAAAAAGTTGCAGGAAAAAGTTACAAAGTGAAAGCTTAATGACAGAAAAAGGAAACAGGTGAACAAAACAGGAGAAGATTACAGAACTAATTTTGGAAGAGTATTGGTCGGTGGACAAAAGCTGAGGAAATTATAGGAAGAGGGAGAACTTCAGCAGTCACATTTAAATGATAAGAAAACAGTGCATGGAATAGACATGTAACCCATGTTTGAGACACAACTTTGGTGGAGTTTAGAAAGCTACTCAATGATAAAATCACCCCATTTGTGAAAAGTCTCTATTTGGTGCTAGATTTTCAGGGTGTTATTGAAATGCATATACACCACTGGAAATAAGATAGTAGACAAAAACGGCTTTTGTGAAATGACAAAAAAATTCATAGGATATTGGGTGGTTTGTGCGGGTGAAGTCGGGTTTAAATTAAAGCCCAGTAGAAAGCAGAATAGGGGTGCTTATTTCCTAGGGAAAATGCAGGGGCTGGAAAATTATACTTCAAAGTAAGTGGTCTAAACCCCACAACTCTTGAGGTGAGGGGATGTTGGTATTGGAGATATTTGCAGTTTTTGTAAGCAGTTTGTAGAATATTCAGGGTGCCTTAACCATCTAATTTATACTTGTCAGATGTTTCTACAGATGAAATTACTTTTTCTTTCTGGTTTATGGTTTTTGTGCTGGAACTGGGATTTGAACTTTGGGCCTTGTGCGATTGCTCAAGTTTTTCCACTTGTAGTTGGTGCTCTAACCACTTGAATCATCAAATCCTAACTGATAACATTCATAGAAGGGAAATACTTTATGATTTTTATTTGCTTAAGTTAAATATCTGAAGATATTTTTGTGTAAGGTCATGCTAGGACCGCTTTGTGGGCTTTTGATATATATATATTTTCTTCTTGATAAAATATAGTTCTTGAGTTCACCAGGCTTCTCCTGAATGCTGGGATTATAGGCATATATATTTGG